ATAATTCATAGTTTGACAATATACATATGTATAATCATCTTGCTACAATGAATTTGTTTCTCATGTATTATACAAAATAAACAATTATTATACCATTTTTAAAATTAACCAGGAGAATTTATACAACAAAATGACATTTTAAAAATATCTATATTAGCACTACATAATGATATTGTTTCTAAAAGAATAGAAAAAGTGTAATGAATAAATTATAAGCTATTCATTATTCCATACTGTAAACAAAATATTATTATGTAATGAATATTTCGTTTAACTAACTGATCTCTTATCTATTTATTAATTGTTTGAAAATTACACAAAGAGCAACATTGACAAGGTAAATAATTCCTACTAGATTTCTTTTGTTTTTCTGTAATGTTTATATTATTTGTTAGACAAGTAATATGTAATAATAGATGGATCAATTTGTATTTTAGTTATGATGAGAAAGTGAAATAGTATGGAATTAAAGAAGACATTTTTTGATTGCCGGAACCTTAATATTGTTAAACTATCCACGGAAGATTCATACAGTCTTCAAGTATTCATATTTATCATATAGAAAAACATTTTTACGAAATTATGACATACATAAAGAAATTAAAATCTGTCACACATATTTATTTATTCAAGAAATCACACTTTATATTAACTAAAATAAAGTTTTAAATAAGTGGAAGAAGAACTGTAACAGCATTAGAGGAAATCAAAAAGTTGCCAAAAGAAAACCCAATGAAGAAAAAGTTAGATATAGAAAAGTAGAGATAAACGCGGTATTTAACACTTGAAACAAGATAGAATAAATACACCTCGATTGTCTCTTTTGAGCTATGTCATTTAAATTCTTTTACTATTAATTTCTATTTATAAAAAGACGGTTCTTAATTTAACTATTCCAGAGTATTTATTAAGGCAACAACCAGAAAAAATTTATACCATAAAGAATTTGTTGTATATGTGGAAAAAATGTTATGCTGAATCGAATTTTAATTTTATATACAAAGTGTACGAGACAAAACTGTAAGTTTATGTATGTATGATTCTTACTGTAAGTGGGTTAGCTGTTAGATTATGGGAGAGTACACGAATGTACGTCAGATGATGTTTTATTTTACCACTTTTAAGGTAATTTCTATTACATCTTGTTTGATAAGGTTCTATTACAGTTTTTGAAATTCATTTTGATTATTTTAAGCCTCAGACTTGATTCCAAGGATTGAGAAGGCAGAATGTACTACCACAGAATCCAATGTTCCCTGAAACATCTTAAATTTTGTCGGAACTTCACTTATTAATGATTAAACTTGAGATGTATATTTGCTGCTTATACACATCATAATCCTGGCATTTTATTCTGCAAACGATATTGGATTATAAATCTAAGGTAGTTCTACTTTTCAAGTTTTTAAGTCCTATGACCCGTTAAATATCAGGTGACAGAATCGTTAATCGGAATACCGACTTCTATGATTTTTTGTCTATGCGCAATCAATGACAGGTCAACCATCATTAACATCCTTGAGTCAACTCCGAGTCCTTATTGATACTCTGTATAGTAGCTTCTCACCTAGCTCAACTCATCCAGTCCAGAACACAAATATCATCCTCCGCTATATGAATTGTATATTTCAGAAATACGTAATTGATATACAAGCAAACCAGACAACATCACATCATAAAATGAAGAACAATAATTATACAAGAACAAGCCAAAAGTGGCTATGAGTATAGAAGACTGTAACTAATAGATTGGGAATAAATTAGGAACAGTAAATCGTACAACAGTAGTTAATGGGTCAAATGAAAACTTATAACAAAAGGAATATAAATATATATGACATAGTTACGTAGTAAATATAAGATAAGAATATATATACATATTAATAATTCGTAAATAATTTATCGACGTTACCATTCATTTATTTTTTGTTCAGACATGACATAAGTGAACTGTGATTTTTTGTCAGATGTTTTAAATTCAACAAAACACTTTGATATTATTCTTAATAGGAAATCCTCCTTATCTCATATACATGTGCTTCTTATATTCCAGAAAACAAATCTACTTAATAGGTTGAAATCATGAGTCAATTGAAGCTTGACCACCATGGAAAACCTGGAAGCACTAGACGGCCGTTTCGTCCTAGTGTGGGACTCCTCAGCAGTGCACATCCACGATCCCGTCCCCCGCGAGATTCGAACCCAGGACCTAGGACGAAACGGCCGTCCAGTGCTTCCAGGTTTTCCATGGTGGTCTAGCTTTAATTGACTCATGATTTCAACCTATGAAATTTCTTGGAAAATCTCCACAAAACCCATTCTGAAATCTATTTAAGTCATATAAATAAAAGTTTGTTTCAGATAAACAAAAGATCCCATTAAAGCATAAATCTAATAAAATTTAAATCCTCGTAATAAACATTTAAAGAATCATGAATTGAACAAATTAAGATATCTATTTTCGTTTAATTTCTCATTAGACGTTTACATTAATACATAGAAGTATAACAATTATAAATGATATAGACAATATCAATTAAGTGATAATGAGTTAATAATTAATATTTTATGCTTAAACTTATCTATAAAAATAATCGTTAACCCATAAACCAAAGAGAACACAACAATTATATCCCTCTAAAAGTGTTATTAATCATTTCAGTTAAAAGTTGTTTTTATTTAATAAAACTGATAGTTTTTTTTCCCATGATAATTAATTAATAAGATAGTTGAAAAGTTTTGCTCAAATGTCATACATATATATGAATAATAATTACAAGAAACAGGGTAAAGAATACCAAAAACTAGTATGTACCGATAAAGAAACAACAAATGATAATTGAAACAATAAAATATTACTTCTTAAATCACTAGTTTATTAAATAAAGAATTAAACAAACGATTGAGTGGCCATAATGATCAAAGCAGTTAAAACATTAGCAAAGATTGTTATTATTATTATTATTATTCATTACATAATCTATGCATTAATGTAAGATAATGATGAAAAACTAAATGAAAAGAAATTTCTCTCTTTCTTCAATTCATTATTTTATTTAAGAAAAAATAATACACAACATGAATCAAGTTAGTTTAATTTAGTCATATGGTTCTATTAAAAGTACAATAGCAAAATGTAAACAGATTTGTTAGAAATAAGATTAGATTGTATTATAACTGCCAAGCGTATTTTACAGAATGTTAAAGTGACTAAAATAGCTTAAATGATTCTATTTATTTATGTATTAAGTATTTAACCAAAAACAATATGACTATGAATTACTAGTCAGTTCAAAAATAAATAATCATCAAAGGAGATAAAATTCACAAAACCACTAATGGGACTATTCACATCAGTCCGTTGAGCATTATACACTGATAAAACCTTTACATATAAAATAGAAGAGAAAATGAATTTTAGATGAGACAATGTCAACTGATCCTACATAGTATACTTGTATTTAGGATACAATCAGATTAGTTTATCAATGCATTTCTGATCATCTATCATTGATTGGATAGATAAGAGAGGATGAAGATAACAGAATTCATTCTTATAGGTCTAGTAAACAATAATCATCAAATTGATATCTGACAAAACTCATTCAACCTATCCTATGCTTTAAGATCGTAAGGAAGTAATAGGAATCCACACAAATAAACTTAATCTTTATAATCAAAATGTTTGTACAAACTGCTTCTTCACTCTGACTACCTATTTATTTGGTCAAACTGATACTTACTTCAATAACTGGCTACATGTACAGTTTTAGTAATCATCCGACTGATTCATTTTTGGATTTCTTTTATGATCAACCTAATTATTTCAAAAAATAACAATAAATCTACACCGATAGTGTTCGCTCACTAACAACCATCTAATTGATATGAGTTTTATGTCGAAACTTAAACCAAGATATTAATGTGGACCTTTTTGTCCGAATTGTATTTGAAGGTTTAGTGGAAAGATTTCAGCAAGATACAATTCAGTAAGGTAAATTATTGTTAGATGATATCATTCACTAAAGCTGTACAATTGTTCCGACAGTTATTTTATACATTGTCTCTTTTTCATATTCACCAAGTGGACAATTATTTTTCATAAATCTCTTTGATACGTCATTTTCATTGCTATTACAATTTGACTACCACTTAACCTTTAAAATTTTTTGTCCATTTTGCGAATGATACAACAATTTTGTTTTAATATACATTACTACGTGTAAAACAATTACAAACACGATTGTGTAGCTTTAATAAACATCGCTGAAAAGGAAATCCTATTATAATTGACCGATTGCTGAGTATGGTATGTTTGCTTAGCACTTTACGGCGTTGATATATTTCTATTAATCCAAGTTATAGTGACCACTAGTCTATGTGACCCAACATCACATGGACTGTAAAGGACTAGGTGGACATGATATGGGTTATTACTCAGTAATCAATTAATTGTAAATATTTCAATCCTATAGTAAATTAGTCTAGGTCTAAACAGCTTAATGGCAACAACTCAGATCGCGAAGTTGGATAATGTGGTATCGAATCCTTCAGGGAGCACAATTTCCCTTACGATTAAAGATGTACTTCTGTTGACAGGAGACATAGCACAAAACCTGGGCCAACGGTTTCCTGTTGACTCTTTCCAACCAAGTAACAAGAAATATTTTTATTGAACCGTATTTATTTTGCTTAATGACACAAAGGGTTTTTTACTGGAAATATTTGATGTAATTAAAGACATTTAATCTATGTTGTTGCATTTTGGGTAGCTGTAAAAGGGAGAAAAGAAACGCAGTGAACCGCGAAGAATGAGAAAAAAAGATAACAAGATCTTAAGTTGCTTAATCGATGTCAGGTGATGGTAAAAATCGCAACCAAATTATATGGAATCCTCCACAAAACTACCTTAACTTATGGTGAAAGTTACATCACAAATATAAGTACCACATAACATTTTTCAGTCAATGTATCAATTATATAATACAAAAACGACATACTCTTTCAGTGTTGGATTAATGTCAGTTGGGAGATAATCTCTGAGTAAATCACTTTTACGCAGTAGTAATATTAAAGCATGATATGGGCGTATTTTATCCATTGCATTCCAAATAGCCATTGGTCGAACAGCGACTATACACTTAGAAATTCCATCATTATTGTTTAAACAATAAGCTTTGTGTGGTAGACAGAAACAGACTGGATAAATCTTGTTTATCTATTTTATGGAGTAGAAAGAAAGACAGTAAGACAATAACATCCCTTAATAATCATATCAATAATAATAAGATTTTCTGAAATTACTTACCTTTAAATATAGATCTTGATAGTTTACTAACGAACCAATACGGTAAATTTATTGAAATTATGAACCAGTCAATTTTAGACCACCACTCAAAACCTGGAAGCATTGGACTGTAGTTTTGTCGTAGTATCGGACTCTTCAGCAGCGCACATCCACGATTCCGCACACGGGATTCGAACCCAAGACCTACGGTTTCGCGTGCGAACGACTAACCTATAAACCACTGAGCTGGCATCCAATGGCGATGATGTTCAACTTCAAACAATCCACGGCGTCGAGCGAGACATCAACCTAACATTAATCGGTTCATTATTTTAATTCAACAATCTCCACAACCCCAAACTGAAAACTACAAATTCAGATTAAACTCTACAAACTAACACCTCAGAATATTTATTCGACTCTTTTTGTTAGAATTCGTATTTATGAATTTATATATATTACAATTATAACTGTTAACGTTAAGTAGCTCTTAAACTATAAGTTAACATGTAAAGTCTAAATGGAAACGGTAAACTAGTAAACGAGATCACAGAAAACAACATCTCGTGATCGAAAATACGTAACAATAGATATCAAAATCATAAGTATGCAGTCTATTGAAATAAAAAAATTCTCAATACACCAGATATCCAAGTATGTTGGTTGGAACAATCAATTAGGAAATGAACTTTTGATCGCATGTTAACAAAAGAACGAATGTTGTGTTGTGTTTACAGAGTTAATATTAAGTCCATCAACTTCATCACTGTATTCCTTACACATGACTGATAGGTCACATAAATTTCCGTTCCCAAATCTTTGATTTCCGACAACCGAAACCCTGATAAATAATCGTAAGTACATTTTACTATTTAGATTAATAACGTGTGACTATATCGATAAAATACAAGATAATAAATAATAAATTTCAATACGTACATAACCAGGGTTTTTTTTATGCAAGATGAGTAATTCACTTGAAGTTAATTTACTGTGATCCTTGAACACCAAAAAATAGAACTAGGATTGTACTATAAATTAACTGTTTAGTAAATGTTTATTAAAAATATAGGAAATAGTTCACCGAAAATTATCTTCTTGAGATTCTATTTCTTCATTTCTTCACCTCATTTTATCAATACATATTTCGGCTTTTAAAAAATTTACATTATCATCTATATTTTTTTTCTTAAATTTCGGCCAAAATAGTGTAGAATAAGACATTAAGGATAGAAACTCAATATATTTTCAAATCGCTATTTTTCTAAAGAGAATAAACTTAGTTCAAATTTTTATAATAAGAATGATACAATACATTCTTTGTCAAGTGTATTTGTTTTCTTGACGTTTGTGTGAACAACGATTATATTATTGATTTACCGTAATTAGGAAACCAGACGACTAATGTCTAGAAGTATATTAAATATTTATTTACTAATTAACGGTTTATATTACGGAATATATATTGGTAAACTGTTGGGGAGATCCAAAAAAACTCGATAAAAGTTAAGAAAGGCTCTGAAAGCACTGAGAAGCGTCTTATCTAATCAGCGTTCAGTAAAAGTTTTACCAGAAACATCTAGAGAGTGAGAAGTCACATGTCGAGTTTCTGATTGGATGATTACTTATACTGCTACTATGTTTAGTAAGGTTCCTGAATTTTCGGGAAACCCAAAGACATCTAAAATACCATAAAAACCCTATATTTCCCGTACATGAACGAAGCTTTGGAGTAAAGTGTTTCTTACATATTTCGCGTCTTATCTCTTGTGTTTAAGTCGCTGTATAGATCTAGCCTGAGGGTTACTAGAAGAGCTTAGGGACCAAATCTAGCGTTCAATTAGCAAGACTTATCGTAAACATTGGTAAAAAGTCCTACACCTCATCTTTATGAGTCTGGATACTTGTTATATTGATTCAGTTTTGTACAATTTTTTTCGAAAACCCAGGTTGAACAAACAATCAAAGTAAGCTTGCAGAAAATGAAAATTCACTTACTTTAACGTTCACATGGCCTGTTTTACAAACTGAATCAAGTATGCTTTTTAGTTCAGCGCATAAAGATGATATTTGAACTAATTTCTCAAGTGGATTCATTGTAGTTACGTCATTTATCTTATCATGAAAATCATCAGAATTATTATAAGAGTTATTTGCAGATATATTTTCATTGATTGATTGATTTGCATTTAACGCATTTGGTAGCTTAGATTCATTGCAGTCTTGATCCATGACAGAATTAACAAAATTAGTATCTCTATCAGAATTAGAACTTTCTGCGATTTTGATATAACGTTTATTTGAAAAGAATTGAGATGACTTGGAAAAGTTTAAGTTATCTGGTCCATATTTATTTGTGTTGTAGTCTGTTGTTGAGTTACCGGACCATGAATTAGTATCAGCATAAGAATATTTCTCTAGAGTAGAAACAATAATATCTCTTTGATCTCTAAGGTAATTAAACACTAATTCTGCACGTCTTACTTGAGAACCGATCTAGGAGGATTTAAGAGAATGAATACAAAACCACTAGTGGATTAAATCTTGTTAGAAAAATAAGTATTTTAAAAAAATATTCTTCCCAATCAAAATTCTCAAAAAAATTAATAACTTAATTTACTACCGGTCGATTAAACATAAATAAGGAAGTTTGGTTCAATTAAGAGTTTTCTTTTCGGCTGAACCAAACTTTCTTATTTATTGTCTTAATGGATATATTGTACTGATGCAATATAAAATGAAGGTTATTGTTATTGTTCTAAAACATAATTACCAGACTTCTTGGAGGTAAATTGAATTATTGGATAATTCATTTACACTAAAATCTATAAACTAAATTTTCAGGGAAACACCATTTTATAATTAGGTTAGAACTTGAAGTCGTTAGATTATTAAAATATTGCTTGAACCAATTAGCAGAAAAACTAATTGGCTAACCAGAATTTATAAACATCTTGACGGTCATATGGTGATTATTTTTTGTTATAATAAAGATAATAGACACGTATGTGTTTTGTTTATAGCATAACAGCTATTTCAGTAAAGTCTCGATGTATTTTTCTACAAGACTAGAATTGAATGACAATAGTCTTTATAAGAGAGCGATAGTTTACATTCTTCATTAGAACAAAACAGTTGTCTAATGATTTTTGTTTTTCGATAATTATCTAGCTGGTTTAGTTTGTAAATAGTATTATTTTTAAATTGAAGTAACATCGAATTAAATACAATCTGTTTATTAAACATGCAGTTAACTTTAAATGGTTCTACCCCATTTGTATAAATACTTAGGAATGAAATAAAAGATGGAGCATTACGGTGTCAGATTCTGCACTAACAGTTATAAACTGAGACACAAAAAGAAGATCGATATTTAAGATATCAACCATGCACATCAGATCATGACATTCAGTGGTTAATATGATAAATACATATATGTACATTGGTTCATGGTGAAAAACATCTTTAAATTCAGTTAAACTCAAAAAGGCGTCTATTTAGATAATAACCATACAAACACAAGCGACCAGTTGGGGAAAAACTACACAGTCTCAGTAAGAACCTATGATCTGTGGGGCTTAATCATATCAAGAATGAAACAGTTATTAACAATCCCGTTGGATGACTATCACGCTACACCATAAACCATCTGGCATTAAGGAGGAAAACCACTAAATTGTGATTTAGTGCTCCGAGGGTATAATACCGACATGAAGATTTGAAGGTCCTAAGTACAACGTTAAGTAGGTTCGTGAATATGTATCGTTGAGAAGTTAGAGACTAAAGCAAAACAGCTATCCAGTTCTTTCTAATTTTTGACTCTCTATGTGATGTCGATCCACAATTAAATTATTAAGTTCAACGCTTGAATGAGTTATCGTTGTTTATTGCTACAGAGTAATATAAATCTTAAAAATTTTAATCATTAAATAAAAGTACAAAAAGCTTAGTGAATAAAATGATTAGACGGCAAATACAACCAACAACAGTCACTCACCAATCTGGATAATTCAGTAAGATAAGACAATACAGATGGAGGTGCCGACGAATCCATCAAAAAACCAACAGTGAAACTAATCATAGTTGTCCGTGATAACTCGTTATCACAACTTTTGGTATTACAATCTTCAGTATCTTCAATAAGTCCAATGGTTTCAATATCAGACGGGGATAAATTAAATGCAGCTCCAATAAATATATTGTGGTCTAACTTTGAAAATTATACAAACCAGGAAATATTTACAAATAAATGAGAGAAACTGTCCAGAGAAATAGTAATTTTTACAGAAAAAAAAGAGAAAACTACAGTAACGAAAACAAGTTTTTTAAATCTCGACTTGTTTACAGTGTCGTTTGCTGATCTATCTTCAAATCAGGTAGTCAAGAAATGTTCATACAAGAATTTATTCTTTTTCTTACAAAATGTAATGGGAACAATTCACACTTAGCTTTACAGGTGTATGTATCCACATCGTCCAATGCTCTTTATTAATTTGATATGATTTTTGGATTTTTCAAGAACTTGAAACAGTTGAAAAGTCACTGAAAATCAAATAATGCTAAATAGATATTTCATCTTATTTTGGGACTTGTCAGAACTTTGGGTCCACCTTTCATTCTTATTTTGATTAAAATTTCAATACCTTTCCATATTGCTAGTTATTCATAGCTTACCTTACAAGTCAGACAATTTCTCGCCCCATGAAAAATAGTTTTTCAAATAATTACTCATGTAATATAGTTGTGTGTATATGTTTAGTTTGATTAGCTTCCTAATTTACAAAATAAGCCGAAAAACAAATTAATAGTGCATATGTGGTAAAATATTATATCCTGAAGTTTTTAAACATAACATATTCCTATAATACTATAGTAATCATAATGTGCTAAAATTACCTTGATGTAGATTTTACGTTGAAGAGCTTGAGTTTGTTGATGTAAAAGACTAAGTAATACATTGGCTGGAATACCTTCTATATTTGAAATCCCTAAATTTCCAATTAAAGGGGATTCAGTAGAAGGAACCTGCAATGATGGATCAGTAGAATACAGACTTCCAAGAACTATATTAGGATTGGACAAATTTGTAGTTACACCCCCAACTGGATTACTCGGAGATAATGAACTCGTAGTACACAAACTAGAGTTGATATTTGAACAAATCGTTGGACAATTATTTAACGTACGATCTGCTGAGCCCATAAAATTCTGATTCAACCCAGCAGTGATAGGACCATTCCCGAAACTACTTTCATTGAAAAACATGGTGCGTTCAGAGATTAACTAGGACAATAATAAATACAGATATAGATACTAATTTAAAATTCACAAAACCATGCCTCTTTATTGACAAATCAAGTGTTAGTATACTATCAAATAGTTAAAAGTGAGCACTACTGAAAGTTAAACATGTGTGTAAATTCAAATAAATAGGTTCGTTAGGTCATCCATTTGCTGAAAAGAGATAAACAGACAGATAGCCTAAACAATGCAGTCTAGTACAAGACTAGTTTGAATTACGTTTAAAACAAAATTAACTGTGATACGAGGAATTTCGCGCAAGAAATGAAACAAAAATCAACTTGACCGTTTCCCAGACATAACATTACTTGACTAACTTTGAGAACATGCACGTCTGGTACTGATATGTTCTCCCCCGCGATTCATCGTTTAACAAATCGAATGATGAGGTAGTGAATTTGTATCAACTGAGACAGTTAAGACGTGCATTACGTGCTGCAGTGTGTCCTCACCCTCTTGAAAAAAATGTGTACGCAGTTGATTTTGTGAGCTCTTAGGTTGTTGCTATTGTAGTTGAGAATTTGATATGTATAGGTCGGTTTCCTATACACTTGAGGACGTATTTCAAAAGAACGGCTACCCAATAAAATTCATCAAAAAATAACAACCGCACCCAGCATCCGAACCCAAGTCAAGCAGAGAAATCAACAAAAGGATCGCCCTACCATACATAAAAGGCATATCAGAAACCGCAACAAGACTGCTGAAAACCTTCGGGATAGGTGTGGCACACAAACCGACAAAATCATTACAATCAATCCTATGCAAACCAAAGGATGAAATAACAAAGGAAAACAAATCAAATATCATCTACAAAATAAATTGTGCCAACTGCGAAAAACACTACATCGGACAAAGCGAACGCCCCCTTCACCTTCGCCTACACGAACATCAGTTCGCAGTCAAACGCCATGATATCTCCTCACTTATATCAATACACGTGGACAACTGCGGACACTCATTCGATTGGAAAAATGTGGAAATCTTGCACAGAGGAAACTCCAAAAACACCGGAGAATTTGTAGAAGCCTAGCACTCAGGTCAATCAGCAATCAACAAGCATATTGAAATCAATCCAATTTATCAACCAATCAGGAAAATCATGTACAAATATAGGAACAAAAATCAAACCGATGGGAGACACAACCAAAACAAAGAAGTAAACTGACAAATTTAAGGTCAATGAGAACCAATCAACATCGAGGTGTATAGAACAAGTTGTGAAACGCATATGGAGAAATTCGAACACTTCACTTCTATCTGAAGTTTGTGCTGATGATGTCGTTCAGTAGAACGGTGAAAGCTCCACGACCAAACCATCCAGCTCAGAGAACAAAATCCCATCAAAATCATCCACCTGAGCTACAAATCTTCTCCACCATCACAATACCTTATATGCTTAACTTTTATTATTATCATTATAACTATTACTAACTCTGCTACTCTAACTCCGCCTGGAGTCCCTCCGGAGGCTTCTACCAGTCCCAAGCCCGCATAAAGGAGGAGGGTTAGGCATGAAATTAGCGATTCCATCCCGTAGAAAACTAACTCTCTAAAAAACACTAACCAGAAAAATTATTTGAACCTTTTAAACTCTGCCCTGGGAGTCAGAAGGTCTTCATTTAGAAGAACTATGACGCCTCATAATGAAAGCCGAATTCCTTCGGAAGTTACGAGGCCGATGCCCCTTCTGACAACCAGAGCGACCATTTATTTAGGCACATCGAATGCTCGTACAATGTGGGACACCGGGAGAGCTTTCCAAATTGCTGCAGAAATGAGGAGATACAACCTAGAGGTACTTGGGATCAGTGAAACACATTGGACACAAGTTGGACAACAACGAATAACTTCAGGGGAGCTTCTGCTATACTCCGACCATGATGAAGAAAATGCACCACATACACAAGGAGTTGCATTGATGCTGTCCAAACAAGCACAAAATACACTTATAGGGTGGGAATCTCATGGACCAAGGATCATCAAAGCCTCCTTCAAAACAAAGAAAGAGGGCATGACAATGAACGTCATCCAATGCTATGCGCCTACCAACGACTACAATGAAGACACTAAAGATCAATTCTACAATAGGCTGCAGTCAATCATCGAGAAGTGCCCAACAAAGGACTTGACCATTCTGATGGGAGACCTAAATACCGAGGTTGGAATGAACAACATCGGATATGAAGACATCATGGGACGACACGGACTGGGAGAAAGAAACGAAACTGGTGAGAGATTTGCAAATCTATGTGCCTTCAATAAACTGGTCATAGGCGGCAGCATATTCCCACATGAATGCATTCACAAAATCACATGGACTTCACCGGATCACACTACACAAAACCAAATCGACCATATTTGCATCAACAAAACGTTCACAGGAGGACGATGGAGGATGTGAGAACCAATACGGCCTTTCTTCAGGATACTGACAAACTCAACAAATTCAAGATAGTCCTCAGCAACAAGTTCCAGGCATTTCATGATCTACTCAATGGAGAAGGAACCACTGTGGAGAGCAACTGGAAGGGGATCAAAGAGGCAATCACTTCAACATGTCATGAGGTCCTGGGTCACAAGAAGCACCATCACAAGGAATGGATCACTGTTGATACACTGGATAAGATTCAAGAAAGGAGGAACAAGAATGTAGCAATCAATACCAGTCAAACAATAGCAGAAAAAGCCAAGACACAAGCTGAATACACAGAAGTAAACAAACAAGTGAAGAGAAGCATCAGAACCGACAAACGTAAATATGCGAATGATTTAGCAACGACGGCGGAAAAGGCTGCAAGAGAAGGAAACATGAGACAACTGTATGACATAACAAAGAAACTCTCTGGAAATCGCCGCAAAGCAGAACGACCAGTGAAAAGCAAGGAAGGCAAGGTAATCACCAACATTGAAGAACAGCGAAACAGGTGGGTAGGACACTTCAAAGAACTCTTGAGTCGACGAACCCCATTCAACATCGAAGCAGCATCCACGGACCTCCCAATCAATGTTGGCCCACCAACAATTGAGGAAATCAGCATGGCCATCAGACAAATCAAGAGTGGCAAAGCAGCAGGATCAGACAACATTCTAGCAGAGGCACTAAAAGCAGACGTAGCGGCAACTGCAAGGATACTCCACATTCTCTTCAATAAGATTTGGGATGAGGAACAAGTACCAACAGATTGGAAAGAACATCGCATCTCACTGTGATAATGGGATATGGCAACTTGAACCGGTGCTCATATGTGCCAGGCTCAACGTTACATATGATTGGCCGACCCACCTTTGAATTGATTTTCCTAACTCATGACTGAATGGAAAGAAATTTAGTATGGGAAGCCCTATCAAAGACTATGATAATATACCAACTGTATTTACAAATACAGGTAATTATAAAAATAGTATGGATATGGTAGTTGAACTTTCAGTCAGTGAAAAAATATAAATATAATTAAAATCCTGCATTTATTACAGATAGTCATGTTGAAACAAGTTGATATTGAATACCGCTAATCTGAAATAATCAATTTATAATTTTAAAAATATGCACTAGTACATACAGCTTTGTAATGTTATAATGAACTCTATTAGCACGTTTAGAGTTTGAATACAGCTTCTTGTCATTACCCTTTTTGTAAATTGTTATATTTTTAATTAATTTACAATATATATCTACTGCATATAAACGTACATTTTTTATCAATAGAATACTGTATTTATTTAGTGTAACGTATAAAAGCCTGAGATAATAAAGATCAATTGTAATCATAGTAATCAAGCATCAATGTAAATCCAGAAGTATTGTGTCAGCAACCAAAGGCACTTTCTATCGTTTCAATCAATAAAGATAACCCCAGTTAATTATCAAATAACCTATAAAGTTTATTATTTAATATATAGTATGCAAAATTGAAAGAGGATGATAGTACTTACATTGAGTGCGAATGGGTTTTCACTATTTTTATGACCTCGAATATGGCCCGTATTTTTTAATCTGGGACTAGGAGTGATTGCCTCTATGGTTGAACTACCAATAGATGTAGGACCCCTGAAGAAATATCCATCGTAAAGAAACAATTTCATGACAGCAAAAAAAAACAGAATATTTACGGTCATAGAAAATTAGTGAAATACAGTAATTTCTATATGACTATAAATGGAGATGAGACGACTGTCGTCAGTTAAACAAATGAAATAAGAAAGATTATTATTAAGGTGGTAACTTAAGGATTGAGGAAGAAGTCGTACTGCTCACTGTAGAGGGGTGTGCAGAAGGTGTTTCTTTCAAACGACCAGTATCTGAAGCAATGCCATTTTCTCTCAAAGAAAAGAAGGGATTAGAAAAGGTCGAGCCCAAAAATGTCACACCTGATCCTATGGGTTTCCGTCTCCAGCGGTAACGCCTTGTGAAATGAGGAGCTAATGCATCAAAAACTCCATAAGAGCCGTGTGCGACCAGCCTTGAGCGGTTGTTTCTTGGGCTTCGCGCTCATTCTCAAGGTCGTTAAGGCCACCGCTAATTCCACCCCTTTTAAGACCACTAAAGAAATATCCTTCCACAGTGTTGGTAACCGAGAAGCGATAACCACCCTTATACCTCTACCAGCAACTGAAATCATCCTGTTGACGATAAAATCCCTCCCTCACTTCTTAATAATTCTTCCATCTACACGACTAACCCATATATATCCTTAACACCAAACGCCATCAGTGATAATGATTCAAGTTCACGAAATGTTATTCCTCGTCTCCTGAAACCACGTTCTAAACTGCATGTTGGAGCTTTTGATGTTTGAACATTGTGTCAAATACGACAACGGGCTTCCTTAGCAAGAACTGAAGAATCTCGCGTCGTCGATATATGGTGCGTCTCCGTAAAGCACATACAAGATCCAAGTACGATCATTAATCTGACCTCACGTTGTCAGCATAAAAAACCAGAGCGATTTAATCTTCTTGCATCTGTGTACTCCACTGCTACTTCCCATGGACCCTCTGGTGTAGGTACAGCATTAAGTTCGAAAGAGAAATAAGCTCTTCTTGGCTGGATTCCAATCGACAGTTACTTGAGCGCTGTCCGACTAAACGGAAAAGATAGGGACTGATGAACTAACTGATCGACAATAATGGAAGCAAAATGTAGTTTTCTGCTGCGTACAAAAATTTTTAAACATTGACACTCGATATTAAATATGGATTTTAGAGATGACATCACATTCTACACTTTAGAGTTTGCTTATTAACCGAAAGGATAGAATTTCACAGAAAACAAATCAGTTAAAGCTCTCATTTCATAACACCACAGAAGGAAGAAGTTAACAAAGTTCAAAGATAGTCAGCAAAGAAGAGAAAGATATTAGTTTGAAAGAGAAAAGTGAACAGCTCTACGTTATAACAAAAAAACTACTCTCAGAGTTAAACATTTAGTATATGGAAGCAATCAATGTTTTATAAATTTAATTAGTACTAACAGTGAAAATTTTTCAAACGCTAAACACATGGTGTATCTCCCAAAAACACCCGACTACTTACAAGTTACATTTGAATGCGTTTACATAATCGAAATGGAACTCAGAGTTCAAAAACAAAGCAGGTGGCCAGTTATGTACACACAACAGATAAACATGAAAGCCGAAATTAGTCATAAAAAACTGGTGATAAAACGATAGGGAATAGTTGACACCGAATACAGAGGAAATACCGCAAATATACAAACTAAGTGTCGAATAAATGCACAACAACAAAAAAGAAACTATCTATCACAAAACACATGGATCAGCTGTAAAATTATTTGTTACTAACAAAAAATAACATTTATGACTTATAAAAAGGAATAGATTAGAAAGGTGAACTTCAGTTTGGGTTAACACAAAAGAAGTCTCGTTTTATTACTACTAAACAAAGAAATAACTTAAAAGGACCTAATACATTACAATATACTTTAATTCACTATTTATTACTTACTTATTTACGCCTGTTACCCCTCGTAGAGGAGCATAGGCTGCCCAATTCACTATTTATACAAATCATCAAATCCGGACCAAACTGCCAAATACCCTATGAGTCGTCTAACGTTTAGATTCATTTCTCAATAGGCCAGGGGTCCATCTTATGACATTAAGTAGGAAACTATTTCTAACCTAATTATAATAGGAATAATTTCTCGCTTGTAACTGAAAATTCGATCCTAATGTTAACAATCCTCAAGAGAAAAGCATGCGTAAAGATAGTTGTTATCATGAAGCGAAACTAATTTTTAGAAAAACTGGGAATGATCACAAAGTACAGTTAAACTGGAACAATTAATCGATAGATTCTTAGTGTTCAGCACTTAATAAACAAATCACAATTTATTGAGCGAAACTATTTTCAAATAAAATGAATAGTTCTTATAAACGGAATAATTCGATACTGTGCTGAAACTGCTAAATATTCAATTCACGGTACCCAACATAAAAGTCAACCAATGAATAAAGACATACTAATTCTGCATATCCGAAAAGTATACACGAATAAAGCAACAATTGTATTCAGACATAATTTACAGTACTTTGATAACGTAGACTCCTGGTTGTTAACAGTGTCAACCGCTGATGAGCAGTCATCATTGCGTGTACAATATCCTTTTTTAGGATTGTATTTATTGTTATCGTTAGCATGGAACGATTGCCAAAACAGAAGACGATCCCCACCAGATCCAGAGGAAGAAAGAAAAATCCCTCTTGGCAGGATTTCTTTCTCATTCCAATAAATTAAACTTGAACCGACATCGGTCATTGGAAGTTAAATTTTGTTGAATGACAGAAGTCTCTGGAAGTGATAATTTAAAAAAACATTATTTCCTAATGATATTGATAATACGGAGGAAAGAAACTTAAAACCACAATAGAGTTATATTCATAAACAAAAATTTATCTATTGCATTAAAGTCAAACTGGAACCAATCATCAACCGTATATATTCCAACACTAGTTATCTTAAAAGTGGTATATATGGAAGATTTCAAATATACGATGTAAAATAATAACGTACAGCTTAGTATAACAGTCCTAACATTATTTTATTCTCAAAACTTTCCATCCATTCTTAGCAGTTCCTTTTCATAATTAATTGATCTCTTGATATTAAGTTAGTGTGCATTCTCAATAAATGACGGCGATCTCTAACCAAAAGCTATCATCAGTGAATCAACAAGTGGAAGTCAGGTATTTTTGTGCACGTATTTACTATCTTAGAATCCCAACATTATCTCCTGACAACTGTCTTGATAAAAATAACTTATCACTCAAACTGAAGACCCAAATAAACAGCACAAACTATTAAAACACTGATTTAGGAATATTCCAAAAGAAATACGTGGAAAAACAAACTCTCTGTACCGAGATACCAGTTCACTTGAAGTTTAGGACTCGCATTATACATGAATATGAATAAAGCCGCAGAAAACTAACTTTGAACATTATAAATCTATCCTAGAAAAATATATAAACGAAGACAAAGAACGTCACTTTTGTTTCAAAGAACAGTGGTTGTGAACATTAAACCATAGTTTACAAAAAATTATTGCATGAGGAGGAATAGTTTCATCTTGAACACAAAGATAAGAAGCAAAAGATTATTACCTTCACATCAAAAAGCATTCGTTAAGGATAGTAGAGAGGAGTTACGAAGCCCTATCTTACTTCGTTATTACTTTGACTCATAAGTATTCGTTAGAAGTAGCCAACCGAGACAATGTAAGCAAAGTTGACTGGTTTAAGACAAAAAAATAATTGGATAAATAATATAGAGTTCAAGAACTATATTTTATTCACATTCTTAGTAATGTTGAATTCCACTGGAAATTGACGATCATTATTTTTCAATATCATTTTTTCTAAGTCATAAGGATTGGTAATGATATTTTTGGAGGTGTTAGCGGGACATAGACTAGATTAAAGCATGCTCAATGCATGATTGCTTTGGTGCACGCTGATTGGCTAATTCTTATCCAATCAGCACTAGTCGGTAGTTGGAGAATACTCTAGAATCTTCTCATGTAAAAACTATAAATATACAGACGTTTTCTCCATTGTGCTTCTGACTTGCTATTTGGAATATAATCTCTTTCCTGTTCAACCGTGTTCTGATTTGGGGACTTGTCGAGTGAATCGGTGTCCGAGTATACTAAGCAATAGGAATAGCTGGGTCATAACCGTAAGAAGAAAGAAATTATAACAGGAGGTCATTACCGAGAACAAACATTTGATATAAGCTTGGATTAATACTAAAAAATTGCATCAACACAAGTATGGTAATATATGAAAATAAGTCTCAAAATCAAAAAAAAGTATGGGGACTGTTGGTCATTCAAAACAGAGCCTTTAAACATGCTTAAGTACTAATGATGAGTCGAAAGACCATGACAGACCCTTATTGTTTCTGTGTACACATTAACCTTGAAATTTACCTTAAAAAATAAGATTTACTGAGTCTGTCTAAATGAATTTAGATTCCAAGCCAACAACTGTTATGCTTCCTGATATAGAGACTTCATTCCATTTGTTGAAGAGAACTATTTTCTTTTGAAGGGTGTATTTGAGTTTACTAAAATCTTAAAGGCTCTTTACATAAACACCTCAAACAGAGTGAGGGTGTACAACCAAATTCCTCCATCGTTCCACTTAAGCAGTGTGGTTAAACAGAATTATCGAATTCCATCATTCGTTTTCGACTTTACGATCAATGACGCTTCTGGAAACAACTCTGATGTAAGTAGATAGTGATGGTGTAAATCTGTTATCCTGAGGAGGATTTTTCGGATTTTAGAAGACGGGTGATATTGCCGTGGTGTGATGATGCACAATATATGCAAATCGCACTTGGGGGATTGCCAATTAGTATCTATGGTTATGATATGCATTTTGAATCTAAATACAAGCTACTTTTAAAACACTAGAAGTGGTCTGTACCTGTACTCACACTTGGTAATGAATCATCAGATGTAGCTAAAACGTTTATGCATCTATGTAGTTGTGTTCAAGGACAGCGATGATAACTTAATTGGTATCACTATCTTCAAACACCGGCTTTAGTGGCTTGGATACATATTACAGATGTCCCAGTGGCCTCCATGTGGTGTAGTATTTACCAACACCAGGAAGCGATGGGAAAAGCGGAGGCGATCAGTTTATAGTATGCCGTTGTCATATGAAAGAAAGCTGAGTACGACTGGCACTTGTCGATTCATGACAATATTCTGATTGGGAACCTAAAGATTGTGCAACACAGTGGCTTCAGATGTCATCAAACATGTCTCTGAACATGAGACATTGACGATCCTTCTGTAGTTTTATTTGATATTATTTATCAAATGTGAGAGGGACTCTCCGCAATAATTATTTCTGATTATATTTTCAATGAAATTATTTTTTCGACTATGTAGTACTCTCATTCATTTATTTTTATTGACTTATTTGTTGTTAATTACACTCCAAATCCTTCCTCTTACTCTTTATAATCTCATTACCTTATTTGTGCATCATATATTTATTTTGGTTCCCAGTTATACCAGTACTTATTTTCGTTAAATATACACGTAAATATGCTGTAAAAATAGTCATGATTAATAATAACTTAGATATTTACACCGGTAATTAAGATAGAGATTTAATAAGTGAAGTCATTACAGTGGTCATGACTTCTGCAGTTTTAAGAAACTAAACTATTGTTTGAAATCCGTTTTTACTAAGGATCAATATAAACTATTTGGGACTGAGTAGTTTGCGAATACAAAATAAATATGTAATCATTCGACTGTTAACAACCAAATACACCCTCTCATTTTGAGTAATGAAACTATTTTGATTATTTAAAATTGGCTGAATAAGTATGGTCAAAATTGCCAAACTAAATAGTGTAGAGGGATTAGAAACCAAGACGCATGGTAAAAATCACCCAGAATAGGAAAATTATTAGGGCTTGGTTCCTCAAATTCAACTAAATCTAGTTCAAGAGATCGACTCTTAGAGGCTTTGGAATTCTATGAAAACCGGGATACAGTGGTTGTTGAATCAATTTGTAAAAACTAAGTAGTGTCTGTAGTTTAAATTAAATATTTCTCAATATTGTGGGGGGTCAAGGTCAAGAACAACGATGATCAAACACAAGGAGTCGCCTAACATCCTCCATTCGGAAAGGCCAGATTTCACAAGCATAGAGCAGAACTACTCTCACCAACGTGTTGTAGATCCAACTTTTCACAGCCAGACTAACATCACGAAGGCGCCAAAGATGGCCCAGATTGACATAAGCTGCTCTGGTTTTCAATATGCGTTAATTGATCTCATCACTCACGCCACCATCACCAGCACTTATGCAGTTACCCAGATACACGAACTTCTCGACTACTTCTGTCTGCTCACTACCTAGGGTGAGTGCAGGATCATGGTCCTTCCAGTCTTGTAGTACTTTTTACATACAAGGCGCGCATTATATTTCATACCTACGAATACTGATTGCCAACTGATTAAGTGAGGATTGCATAGCTTGTGTATTATCTCAGTAATACAATATCATCTGCATACTTAATATCGAAAAGTCTTTCTCCAGACAACAGATCCACACCACCATTACCTATATTCATCAGAGCTACTTTCAGGACGTCATCAATGGAAAAGTTGAGGAGGGATGTCGAGACTGGGCAACCATGGATAACCCCACTGCTTGAACGGGACAATGGAGTGAGGTGGTTAGTGCCCTCATTCTGCCTGTGGGTTTTGTACATGACAAAAAAATTCCCAGGTACACAAATGATTGATTCAGTCAGTCACAATGTAGGACTTCGTACGTACGTACATCACTTCGAGTTGCCATACCACATTAGCACAGAGATGCAGTTGTCGATTCAAATCCCGTAGTGGTAGAGGTAGTAAGAGTATAAGTAGTAATCGGAAATATTAGGGTTTGAAGATGTTATTCATGGAGTATAATCCAGTGAAATAAATTTGGAAAGAGAACAAAAGAGACAAGGATTCAGGAGATAAGAATTTGGACGAACACAAAGAGTGGATGCACCTGCACCATTGTAAACGATTTTGAGCCATGTCATTCCAAGTCTCTCACAATCGCAGCAAGAAAAGTATTTTCCATAAATATAGAATAGTTCATCATAATTTCGCGTGGGCTGTGGCACTGCCCGGGTGCCCAGACCGAACCAAGTGGTCTTCTTAGGAGGCCACACCCCGAGCCTTTGACCTAAAGGTCTAATCCACAAGGCAGTGGAACATCGTGAGGAGATGTAGTCCCATGATAGCCGGTGACCAAGAAATTGGTTTATACGTCATTTGTTCCCGCAGGATACAGGAGCCCATGTGCACCATCGGTTTGGGATCCGGTTAAAACACCGGACATTCGCTTTCTGTCCTCATTTTCGTAAACAACACCCCCGCCACGAGAAGGCAGTGGGTAGGACTTCCCTGACAAAGGCTGTATACGCGTGGCCGTGTGAGAGTATTTCGAGAGGGAGGGCGAACACACCCCGCTCTCTGCCATATCAGGGCATTTGGGGGCAAGTGTGGCAACTGCTTGTTGCAATGTGGAAGTGCCGGCAATCGATTGCTATCGTCTCGCGGATCCCAACCAGGAAGTCTACTATTTATTTATTTGAACACATAAATATTGGAACAAGAGAGCGCCAATATATATGCGCCACACAAAACAACGAGAAATCGAAGAGAAAAAAAAGAGAACAATAACGAAGAGATTGGTGTAAGGTAGTGTGGTAGTAATGAGGGAACGGAAAGGTACAATCAGAAGAAATCTTTCAGTTAAGGAAGACACAACCACTTTTTATGAAGAAAGTAAAAGAAGGTTACAGCACGATGGCCACTGGCTTCTATTCTGAGCCATATCTGATAACGTCTCTAGCCACTGTGTTACACCATCTCTCGGACCCCAACCAGGGAGCCGTGAAGGACCGACAGAAGCCAGTCCTTTGCAGCTTTCCTTCATACCACGACACCATGTCATGCACTGACCACCTCTCCGCTTTTTCCAATCAGTCCCAGAGTCGACAACTAATGCGCAACGTGGGATTCTCTGGGACGACATTCATAGGACATTTCTAAGCCACCGAATTCGATGTTTCAAGATGGTGACACCAACTGGATTATCGTCTCTGCGCCCGAACACACGATGCTGAACCTCTGCACTACTAACATGGTGTTGTCACTGGATATCAGCAATCCTTCGGAGACAACGATGATCGAACACAGAGAGTCGTCTAACATCCTCAACTCGGAGGCCAGGTTTCACAAGCATAGAGCAGAACTGCTCTCACCGACGCGTTGTAGATCCGACCTTTCACAGCCAGACAAACATCACGAAGGCGCCAAAGATGGCCCAGATTGACATAAGCCGCTCTGGCTTTCACTATACGTACATTGATCTCATCACTCACACCCTCACCAGCACTCATGCAGCTACCCAGATACACCAACTTCTCGACTACTTCTATCTGCTCACCATCCAGGGTGAGTACAGGATTAGAATCCTGCCAGTCTTGTAGAAGTACTTTGCATTTCGAAGGTGCAAAGCACATACCATACCTACGGACACTGATTGCCAACTGATTAAGTGCGGATCGCGTGGGTTGGGCATTATCGCACAGTAAGACAATATCATCCGCATACTCAAGGTCGAGAAGTCTTTCTCCAGAACAAAAGATCCACACCACCATTACTTACATTCATCAGAGCTGTTTCCAGAATGTCATCGATGGCAAAGTTGAAGAGGAATGGTGAGATTGGGCAACCCTGCCTAACCCCACTGCTCGAATGGAACAATGGAGAGAGGTGGTTGTATGCCCTCACTCTGCCTGAGGTGTTTTTATATAGGGCTTTTAGGATGTTAATAAACTTCTCAGGCACATCCTTCTTCAATAGACAATCCCAGAGAACAGTCCTGTCCAACGAATCGAAAGCAGCCCTAATGTCAAAAAACGCTACGATTGTTGGCCTTTGATAAGTATGACGGTCTTCTAACATTTTGCGGAGGGTGAAGATATGATCAATACATCCTCGACCAGAACGAAACCCAGCCTGCTCTTCGCGAGTCAATCTTTCTCGGGTTTTGAACAACCTACGAAGTATGACGGAAGCCAATAGCTTGGACGCAATCGGAAGTAGACTTATCCCCCGATAGTTGTTGCAGGAACGACGTGAACCCTTTTTAAAGATAGGGACAACTATCGACCCATTCCATGACGTTGGTACACTTTCTAGTTCCCAAACCTTTGTAAACAACGTCGTCAATTCCTTAGTCAGAAAGTCACCACCATCTTTAAAAAGAGCCGGAGGTAAGTCATCTGGGCCAGGTGATTTGTAACGCTTCAAAAGTTGGAGTTCCTTGCGGACTTCCGCCTCATTTGGTGGGTCAGTCGTCACCGGCCATGGAGGGCAGGACAGTCTGACCGATGCTGCCGGAGCAACAGGCCAGTTGAACTGCCCTTCGAAGAATTCCGCCCATCGTCCAAGACGTCGATGGATGTTAGTGATTGGCATCCCATCATCCTCGCAGATTGTTTCGCTCACACCAGACTTCTTGCTGCCAGTGGCTCGGATGAGTTAGAAGAGCTTCCGGTAATTACCAGATGCAGCTGCTGCTTCCAGCTCATTAGCACGCTTCGACCACCAGGCTTCTCGGTCCTTACGCAACATCCTTCGTTTGCGGTCAAATTCACGGCCCAGGAGTAGACCGACGGGCTTCAATGAGTTGTAAGGAACCTGCAGAAACCCAGTGCTTATAAGCGGGACGTTTCGCAAACCCACAACTGACTGTACCCGCCATTTTCATGGCGTCATGCAATTGCAACCAATGCTCATCTATACTTTTCGGTGGAATGGTAGCTAGCCTAGAAACTAGCTCGGTTCGATACTTACTATCAACAGAAGTTGCAACCAGCTTGCTAACATCAATCTGTTGTTGGCGGTCACTTCGTTGTCCACTGAAAAGTAAGGTAAGATTGGCGCAGACCAAGGCATGGTCAGAGTCCAGATAGGTACTCCAAAAGGAGCGGCAGTCTTATACACAACCACGCCAGCGGTAGCTGATCGCTACCAACATGGCTTAGCCCACTTGCCAATGACTTCATGGACCTGTGCCATGCTTTTGTTTGGCCACCCCTAGCTTTCTCTCAACCTACTCCTACACCATGAAACAAATGATTGATTACTGGGTAGTGACCAGTGTCATGTGCTAGATCCTGTTTAGTACAGATCGAATCCTATCGATCGAAGGCGGCCCTGATCTCGAGAAACACAATTTTTAACCTACAATAAGTATGACGGTGTTTTAACATTAGGCGGAGGGTGAAGACATGATCAATACATCCTCAATCAACATAAAATCCATCCTGCTCCTTAAGAATTAATTTTATCGGATTTTGAACAATCTTCGAAGCCAATAGTTTGAACGCCATCGGGAGTAGACTTATCCATCGACAGCTGTTGCAAAAACGACGTGAACCGTTTTTAAAAATAGGAACAACTATCGACTAATTCCATGATATTAGAACACCCTCTAATTTCCCGACCTTTGTAAACAGCTCAGTCAGTTCCTTAACCAGAAAGTCTCAACCACCTTTAAAAAGGGCCAGAAGTAAGTCATTTGGGTCTGGTGATGTGGTGTTTCAGAAGTTGAATTTCCTTAGGGACTTCCGCCACGTTCGGTGGATTAGTTATCACGGGCCATAGAGACCAGGACAGTCTAATCGATTCTGCCAAGGCAGCAGAAGTTAGATGATACCACCTCCGAAAAAGAAACAACCTCAAGATCAATACCCACACACTATTTGTGAGTTAAAATATAGTCAAGTTATAATCACTAGTTGAGATCGTTAATTTTTTGTGACAGAATAATCAGAGTCAATTTTGAAATAAATAGTAAGTAAAATGGAGAAACTAGTAAATCAATTCGACATGACCACTGAAAGCAAAATGATCATCTCTCAGATCAAAAATGGGCTTCGACGTTACCAGAGAAAGATTTGCTTGAAAGATGTTTTTGTTGCAGTTAGCGTAAGACTTTAGATTATAATATACCGAGACTCCGAGATCATTTTAAATCTGTGATACCTCTAGAAGCGAGGTACTTGAGTTATACGTGTAGTATGCAACATGTCTCAGATGGACTACTTCACGCTTTGAGGTGTTAAAAGTCCATTGTTATCTGCTCAAATTTGAAGTTGAATCAGATCCTCCAGAAGTCCCAGATTATCCCCTTGGTTGCATATATATATCCACCCATCAAGACACAATATAAAATGATAAGGCACAAAATCATCGGGAGCTTTGTTTTGCGTAACCAGAATGTTAACAGAATCAGTGAACAAGCAAACAAATACTTAAGGTTAAATAAGAACAAAGAGTCAAATTTGCTATTTATTTAACTCATAATATACATTATGGTATTCAGGTACCATTGGGATAATGCAAATACTAACTAGAGGTACGAACTGGCAACTTTTATCAAGGTATTTTTATGATTCATGAAAATATCTAAGCATCGCATGTGGGGACCAAACGGATATGGACATGAATAGCACCTTTAGTCCGCGATTCCTCTCGTATTGAAATCTTCTCATTTTCTACTTGAGATATAATCTGGAAAGTAAGATGGATAAAAACATTTATTTAAAAAGACATTTGGTATGATTTTAATGGTTGGAAATCTATTAAATACGGTGCTTTTACTTCTGGACTGAAAATTCTAGAATGAAATATACTTTACAAGCTACGTCGTGATAACAACTTCAAAAAATACCGACTCACATGTTTCTTAGTTGAACAGCTACTCGTGTAAGTTGATATTTTGAGGTGCCCAGGGTACAATCGACGACTTAAGTGTAGAGCCAGCTCAGCTGTCCTCATAATACTAAGCGGTCCTATACCGTGAATCCAAAATTCAGGTGGTTTTGAGGGATCGGACTGAGATGAACTATGATATTTATATAATAAACGATCCACGTGACGACTTATGAAAAGCACCTGGCTCTACAAAATGCATGATCTTTTAGTTGTATATTACCATAAATCCGGACTTCGTAGATATGAAGATATGCCGAGATCCAGATGAAGAAGTGTAAATATTAGGGGTTTCGCAGATGACAGCATCCTCAGCTAGCAAGTCTGTAACCTCCCAAACAGACCCACTGGGAAGGCATTCTCTATCCCTTGATGACATCTTCATTATAATCTGCCAGGTGGTATGTTAAACGATAAACGATCCCCCAATTCACCCCAACTAACACGGAAATTTAGGAAAGTAATAATCCAAACGGCAAAGACAACTGTCCAAGACAATGCTCCAATTAAACTGAAAGTGACGTCTACAAATGAAGTTTTGGTAAAAAAATTTCAGTACATTTCCTAATCAGCTTAGACTCTGGATATGCCTGTGGGGCAGACAACTCCTTTAGAAAACAAAAAACGTTAATCCACCAGAGGAAAGGAAGAAATCCGATTCCAGCTAATAACAGAATAGGATTTTAGACAACTAGAATCATCTACCAAAGAAGTAAGTACGGCTGAGTTTGAGCTTATCTTCACCAGTAAGACGTTTTATATCCATAAAAACCTACAAAACAAAGGATAAAAATCTAAGATGAGGAACATCGATATAATTAGTTGGACTCTCAGGTGGTAGTATTGAGTGGAATTTCGACACTTTACTAACAACTTCTAAGATATCATACAAATATCATATTATAGTGACAAATTCCTACATAATCAACGATTACGTGAAAGCATATGCTTTCGACCAAATATATTTGATGGCATGTCAATTACCTGACGTTTTAAATTCTAGTATGGATTTTTGAGTTACCTCAAGACTTCAAAAGCTCATATTAACTAACAAGCACACAGACTGCCAAAATCAAAAGTTTTCGGTCGAAAAAGGTAATGAAAACTAAATGTGTTGTGTTCTAATGTAGTTTTTATCACACCTTGAATGAACTTTTACATAAGTAGTAGGGATATGGCCGTGCTAGGAATAAAAACATAACAGACAACACCCCACAAAGTACTCAGACTACCTACAAGGGTTATTTTGTTTGCTGAACATAAAACGGTTTCCTCAACACTTTGTGGTGACACGCAAGGCGGGAAATGGGCGCCAATATTTTCGAGTATTTTTCTCTGGCTACGGACCATGGATTAATCAAAGAATCATAATAATATTCCGAATCCAAAACAAAACATTACTTTTTAATTAACAAATATTTTGGACCCAGTTAGGGTCACTAAAATGTGCAGTAAATTCCAAGGCTATCAGAATAGATCATAGATATTTCTAACTGAAAGGAAGTCTCTGGGTTTTAGTAAGTGACTAGTTAGCTTAGTGTAGGACCATATAACGAAGATATTACAAACTATCCGAAAACGTACATTATTGTCTAATTTCCCTCCTCATTAATTACAGAACAAAAAAAATGAGCTTTATAGACCAGCCTAGTAATTGCGGTCATCAAATTGTACTATGTGTAAATGATTCCGCTTTTTGTGGAGAGGTTTCATATTTTGGAAAGGTGTTGCGCTGCAAGAAGTCTTCAGAAAATACAGACCTTCAATATTAAAATCATTAACTTTTTTAACGTGGCTAAATGCTACTTTTGAAGCCCGGTAAGAAACGTCCTCCATTTTGAATAAAAACTTGATGAGTATTTTATGGATCAATTTTTTTAGTCTAAGCAATCTGTAAAGAAACCAATCTACTATGTCATGATGTTTCTCTTAAGGAATTCAGCTGCTTTTGTCTGAGAACTGTTCGGAATCATTTTCGCCACAAGCTTGGCAACTGATGTTTGCAAGTGATGTGCTGTAAGTTCCTCTTGCCTCGAGAAGAAAACTATCCTTCTACAAAAAGAGTAGGGATAACAGCAGCCAAAGAGGTACTTCGAGTAAGGAGTTAACATATACAAGCTCGCCTGCAAGTGCCAAATTACATACCCGTACAGTACGTACGGATAAAAATGGACGTGATCTTAATGCATGGTGATACAATTTTCGTCATCCCAGAAGATCTGTTATGTGTTTTAGTACTAGCTCATACCCATAAGTAAATCACTTAACCTCAAAACGGAGGAGTATATACAAAAATCTGTCTTCTTCGTAATGGGTATCTCAACAGCGAAAAACCACACCCAAAATTTATGGTGATTACACTATCTCTTGTCTTCCTCAAATGAAGACTCAACATGTGCTTCGGTTTCAACCTCGATATGTCTGCTGTAGGGCACGTAATTGTACGCTCATATATGCAAGAAAAATCTCACGAGGCTGAGGTATATTTAAAGCATAAATCACTCTTATTACGCCAAACTGCAATCGAGAGTTAACTGAAGTTAGGGAGTGAGGTAGACGCCTATAAACATACCGGCATCAATCCATGTTGCACTAAAGACCACATCCTTTTGACACAAGAGATTGTCTGTCAATTGTAAATGTATCACAAAATAAGACTTTTGACTCTAAAACGGTCAACCAACTCTGGCTCATTATTGGATACAACCTTAACCTCATTATCCTTATCAAACAAACAGTTGAAAGGTTGTATTCATCAACTCCTTGTTCAGCTTCATAAAGTTTGAGACATCGTTGGAGACTGTTCAACCTATACCTCACCTTCTTCACTAAATCGTGAAGTCAGGAAAAGCCTTTGATCGTCTGGACAGAGTTTGTTAAACAAAAATCTCCTATCGAGATTATTACATTATTGCCAAAGCACTCATTACTAATGTATATAATGTGAACATGATACCTCCTGTCATCCAATATTGAGCGTTAAAACGTTTGTCTGTTTAAATTAAGACCTCTCGCTCCAACTGATCAGTGATCGTGCAGTAAAGACTTACCACCATCATGAAAACAGGTTCTACAGTTGGCAAGTCCTTGTTTCGAAGACGAAAAGATTATCCATGTATATGCTCAATAACGGCTTAGCCTTCTGGCAAATCAAAGTTGTTGTCTCCTTTTGATTAAAGTTTAAGGTATTTTGTATATCGCATTTTAAATATCAAGTCTATTTTTTCAATATTTATATTCCGTCAAGTTATTAGTTGTTAACAGGCGTAAGCGGTAAGTAAGCAAGATATTATTTCGATATCGTTAAGTGTTAAACCCAGTACAACGTGAGAACCAGGAAACTAACCGCAACCTGTGGAGATAGATACTGTTATGAATACATCCTCTCTCCCAGGATTTGATCGTAGTTCTTCTGAGTCTAGATTTACTCAGTTGAAATGCCACTTCACGGAGCCCAGCATCAAATCTGAGGGAATTTGACACTGAGATTTATGCTCCGTACTCCCTTTTTTCTCTGAAAAAGAAGTCCGTAAATCAACTTGAATTTCTCTACATCATAACCGTAAACCATTTTCAAAGGCGAGACAGTGGACCTCTTATCTTTATAATACAGCCAAATAATCCAAGGGCTTTTCTAAAAAGAGAAACTAGGTGACGAGTCATCATCCCAATTCTTCTTTCACCTCCATGTATAACTTGATGACAACACCTTTGGTGAAACAGACCTGAAGCAGGGATGGACACAAACTCCCCCATGCAACGTATAACACCCTCTGGATGCACAAGACACAAGCACTTCTTTACCTCAATTAGTATGTGTAGCAGGTAGGATTATGGAGGGAACCTCACAAACGGATCACATATGATATACCGCATAAGAAAAGAAAAATCACCGAACGATGCACTTATAACAGAACTTAAAGTCTGTCGGAGGCCGTTGTCGTAATGCAGAGACCACAGAAACCGGAGCAGGTCACCACAATGACTTAAGTCCAGTTCACAGTGCAGATCACGACCATCCAGACAGTCTGGACAGTCATATTGAATCTACTGGGAGTTTGGTGTCAAATCAATCGGGTTCAACTGTAGAAATATGGTCTAATTTGATGTCATGTTAACTAATCTATGCTACTCGAATAATAGCCATAGTTCCAACATTGTAGATGAGCTATGATGTGATTACTTAATTCATAAGATCCTACATGAAAGTCATATTATTGCATATGCTGACTCACTTTATTGTTGCTGTCAGCAGTATGGTTTCTAGCACATCTGAAGACCTCATTTGGGCTTGAGATATCATAATATATTAAGTATGAAAAGGAAGTCACATAGAGTGACCACATCTGCATGACTTGACCTTGCCATGCCGATTAAGTATTTCGATGTTTAACATCTCTGACCTCTACATGTTAAATGTTGGGTGTGGATTTTCTCAGCTGTCATATGTTCGGCTCGAAGGGTCGTGCGGATAAGAACCAATACCACTACAGGTTCGTGTGTTTAAATTCGAACCTTTTGCTCTAATTGTTCCAAAAGCCTACCACGGCCGCCATAACGTTGTTTTTTCTGTTTGCAGCTAAGGGTTAGTATAGGCTCAACAGATATTGTCAAGTGCTATTGTTGTTTCGCTTTCAATTTTTCTTGTCGCTCTAATCTTCCGTCACAAACCTTGTCATCCAACTTATTTATGAGTTTCGAGATAAGAGTCTTGCTTACGAAGTTGGTTAAAGTTTCTGTCAAGTGATGCTGTCTTCTACTGGAATGCCGCTCAATTATAATTAGTTGTATGCGTTCTGTTGACCAATGAAAAATTGAGAAAGTACAACGCCGTTTCATAAGACTTCTCACGCTCGATTTATCATATAAAGATAGATGGGAAGCAAGAAAACCGCATCCCTTTTGGTCAAGACTAAATAAACTCGACCTTAATTTACTTCCCATAATTTCATATAATAAAACTACAGCACATTGTGATACTTTAAAATTTGCCTAAAGTAGTGACTATAACCTTCAGAACCAGGATTTTGTACTAAAGATATCAAGAAGATCAAGCAAATCGAGGTCAGCTTTCTTTACCACACGCTATGCAAGCCTCTGGAATAAATAACCATTTGACATCCGGTCAAGCCGGACGCCTGCTCGATTTAAATATTCCCTAAACTGATTTTTGGACCGATTCGGAGCTTCCCACATGCTCGGTGGAGCCAAACGTAACCAGGCTGCATCTAACGATTGTCCATCCAACATCTAACCGACTGGCGTCTAGAGATAATGTCACAAACTACAATTATTCGACCCCCAAAATCTGTCATTTTACATTTAATATGTCTCTGCTTAAAAAGTGCCTTAATAATTTCCTTTTGTTATACGCTTCATAATCGCTGTTCACAAATATTAAAAATCTGTTTCTTGATTTTAATTTGATCAGCACAACCATTGATATTGTTGCACACATCGGGCCTTAGAAATACCTTGAACTGCAACCCAATAAAACACAATACAACTCTAGACTGCTTGGGTGGAAAATCAGATCTGTCCGATCATAAGAAGCTTTGAAAACATCCGAAGTTATTGTGAGTTATTTCTGGTTCATATTCTACCAGCATGAAAATTCGTTTGCTACTAGTATATAAACATTGTTTTTTCCGACTTATCGTCTTACTTTGAAATTTTTCAGCCGTAAACTTCTCTTCCATATTCTTTGATCAGACATTTTCCCTTATCATCTCTAAACCACATATCATCTGACCAGCATCTTATAGCATATACCATTAGTTATCTCCATAGCACTGTGACTAACAAACAGGTGTTTAGCCGACAATAAAAATGCCTTAGCCATCTGGTTTTCTTGTAACATGGACCTAGTAGTGAAAGTGTATTCCAACAGGGTGTGCAACATAGAGCTTAGTTCAAACCAGTATTCATATACACCGCAAACGTAAGAGAGCCTGACAACACAAAAGTAGGGAGTGTGGCGTTGCTGACCAGCATATCTGTGGGGCAGAATACTTTGTTAGATTACTGCTGCTTATGATCAAGAGGGATGTCATAAAGTAATGATACTGATGTCAATCTCTGATGTAACTCTGAATTGGTTTCACTTCCTACCGAGAAATCCCATTGCAAGCAAGACAGGACAATTACGCCATATATGAGTTATAGCAATAAAAACGTGTTATAATTGGTATGAAGAAAAAAGCCAGTTGGTTTTCGAACACTGTATTTTCTTTAATAAATTTTAAAACCACACATAATCCTAAACTTTCCGCGTCTTTATCAATCATCTTTCGTAGAAGTCACATCATCGTCTACATCAACTCACTGCATCGTAACAATTACCAATACAT